CTCAGCATCGAACGACAGCACGCGGATGGAAGCCATAGCGACAGTGTGACAGAGTAACGCAAGCTGCCGCAGCAGGGGAAGGCGACTGTGCACGGATAGAGAGCAGCGGGCGAGGCTGGCGCTACGGGCAGGCGGCGCTGCAAGCGGTCAGCGCGACGGGAGGGCGACGCTGCGAGCGGGCAGCACGGCGGACGGGCCGGGAAGCGGGCAGCGCGGCGGGCAGGCGGCGCTGCAAGCGGGCAGCACGGCGGGCGGGCGACGCTGCGTGGCGGGCGGGCCGCGAAGCGGGCAGCGGGCGGGCGGGCGGGCTGCGAAGCGGGCAGCGGGGCGAGCGGGCTGCGATGCGGGCGGGCCGCGAAGTGGGCAGCTAGCGGGCGGGCGGGCTGCGAAGTGGGCGGGCCGCGAAGCGGGCAGCGGGGCGAGCGGGCTGCGAAGCGGGCGGGCCGCGAAGCGGGCAGCGAGCGGGCGGGCGGGCTGCGAAGTGGGCGGGCCGCGAAGCGGGCAGCGAGCGAGCGGGCTGCGAAGCGGGCGGGCCGCGAAGCGGGCAGCGAGCGAGCGGGCTGCGAAGCGGGCGGGCCGCGAAGCGGGCAGCGAGCGGGCGGGCGGGCTGCGTAGCGAGCGGGCCGCGAAGCGGGCAGCGAGCGGGCGAGCGGGCTGCGAGCGGGCGGCTCGGCGAGGGGCGCGCGAGGGCGCTAGTGAAGGGGCGCGCGAGGGCGCTAGCAAGGGGCGCGCGAGGGCGCTAACGAAGGGGCGCGCGAGGGCGCTAACGAGGGTGCGCGCGAGGGCGCTAACGAGGGGCGCGCGAGGGCGCTAACGAGGGCGCACGAGGGCGCTACGAGGCTAGGGCACGGGGTAGCGTGGTAACCGCAGCGAGCGGTGGTGGGCCCTTAAAAAAAAAAAACGGTCGGTAGGTCCTAGGGACCTCCTGCTCTGAATACCATCTCAGAATAACTAGGCAAGAATGATGAACTAGCAGAAGTTTGGGTACAAATATGAAACCCTAGTTGGGGTTGTACCCCATATTGGCTACCCCACTACAGCCTACAAGCATAATACAGTTTAACAGAAACATCGCAAAGCGCCAGTGGGAGTTTGCGTGGTTTTCAGTTCAACTTCATCGGCGGGAGCAGTTTCAACGACGGGGTCAACGGCGTTGATGCCACTAGGTTCCGTGAAATTCGGTCTCGGAAGACCCAGGGCAGTCCCCGGTTCTCGATTGAACCCACATGCTGGGGTCGGGTAACCGAAGGAAACTGATGGTGACCGGGTGGGCGGCTATAGCACGTCTGAGATTTTCGGAGGAGAACTGCACCTGCACCTGCGGATTTACGGGGCTACTTTTCAAGCGACAATCTCGGAGTTCGACGAAGGACTTACCGGTTTTACGGCGGGAAGTACCGACATTTTCGAGGAATTTCATCGACGTTTGGTTAAACGCGCGCGACATTGACGTGGAGCAACAGTGCGAGAGCTACACGGATTTTCTCAGGGGTACGAACGAATTACTGACTAACGACGTGTTGCGACCCACCCGGGTCGGGTCGACCACCCCCCGATCCCGAATTTCTAGGAAGCCCGCACTGCCGACCTACCCGACCAGGTCGACCCGACCCAACCCAAACCGGGTTGGGTCGACCTGGGTCAACTCGGGTCGACCAGGTCGGGTCGACCAGGCCGACCAAACCCAACCCAGCCAAGCTGGAGTAGGTTACTGGAGCCTGCGAAATCTGTGGTTCTCGCGCGGATGCCGCTTGTATCTCGTTTAACAAAAAGATACCCGGCAATATCGCCAAACATTGCCTCGCCCACCTTCCACCTGCGGAGCACTTGCTTTCTCTTTACTTCGAATTTGCAGAGAAGGCAGTGGGAAATTCTTTGATTTCTCGAGTCGCCTTGCTGTTTGGTCGGGTCGGGTCGACCCTGGTCGACCGGGTCGACCCGATCCGACCCGACCCGGGTGGGTCGCAACACGTCGTAAGGCGGTAGCAACAGTGACGGGGGGTGGGAGACAGCTTCAAATTTTCATCCCTGCCCACGAACTCTCGGCGGATTACGACAAAATTCTCGGAGATTCCATTCCAACTCTTTTGCCAACAACTCGTCTTCGACCCGCCCACGACAACTGCATTAAATATCAACCACGTCAGGTGCTGCCAGCTGCAACTGCTGAAGATACTGCATGATTCTGGCGTAATGGAGACAAAACAAGTTCAGTTCCGAGCAACGCATGTTTTTCGTCACGGTTTTTAGGGCTACATCTACGGCTTTGCCTTTAAGATTTCTTGGGCACGTAATACCTGGCTTTCGACATCGACATTTTCACACCAACACGTTTTCACTTGGGTTTCTTCGCTCAACGGCTTTCTTCGTGGGACTTAACACCTGGATTTTTGTTGGTTTTCCCCTCGGCGCAGCAGTGAAGCATTTTCTGGTGTACTTTCTTGGAGGGGGGGAGAAAGTGCTTTGCACTGTTTTCTTCCTTGGCGTTTTCTCGGCTTTCTTCTTGACCTTTGTCAGGTTGTGTCAGCACGACGGACGATCGCGATTACACCGACAAGATCAACGACTCCATATTGATCGCGATTGAATTTCACGTCAGTCTGTTCCCTCCAAAATTGCATCTGCCTCAACCGTCAGATTCGCACCTGCTCGATCAACGGCCCACATTCCAACTTCCACTTCATTTTGGGCCAGTTCAATCGCGTCCGTCAGATCGAAATCTGACTACATCAACGGCCGACATTCCAAACATTCTTCAAATTTGTTGAAGACATTTCCAACCGTCGGATTCAGCTGAAGAGGAGATCTACGGCATCCTCGCTACCGTGGGACTCATCTCAGTACAGGACTCCCTTATTTAGGAGGTGGGAGAGTGTAAGGATTTACAAATCCTTACTGAGGCACTCGTTAGCGAGGCCATCCCGAGGGCACCGCGACCAACTGGTTCGGCCTACAATTTCGCATCCAAACCTCACCGAGCCGCCTCCGCACCAATCGCGACACTTCGCGAGCCAACCTTTCCCCACCTCCCCGCCTAGCTAGGTTTTCCCCTATTTAGGCCTCGCTACTTCATTGTTCAGTCATTCTGTGATTTCCATTCTCGTTATTCGATATCTGCGCACTCTGACAAGTTCATTCATAACAACGCTCCTCGGAAATGGTTGAAGCACAACCATCATGCGTTTGCATCTATAAAATGAGGATTTATATTAGACCTTCCTTGCACAAGTCCCTGCTAAAGCACTGGGGGGAGGGAAGCAGGAGGTGGAAAGAGATGTTTCAGTCCTTTTGGGAGACACCCCTCAGCACACCGCCAGAACCAAGGATGAGATGGGAAGTGGAAAAGGAGCGGCTACTTTTCAACAGGCGAATACCCTTCAGAGGAGCTAGCCCTTTTGGGAACCAGAAGGGGTCAGCCTGCCTGATGGATATGAGGATGGGTGACGTAGTCTGGGAGAGCTTCGACGGCGGACGAGTGCTCAAAAGTCTGGAGCTGCTGGAGAGCGAGATGGGAAGCGGAAAAGTGGGCGCTCAAGGCCTTCGATGCAGCTCCGCGGGAAAGGAAGGAACTTTTGCTGGCCGCCCCGTCCTGTGAAGGAGTGGCAGCAGCAGTACCAATGTTACGGACACAAGGAAGGGCGGCCGCATCGCCCTCATACTGGAAGGTGTGCGGTACCACGTACGAGAAGGTCAAAGGGAGACTATGCCAGGTTGATGGCACGGGGACGTACAGCGTGTGCGAAGGAGCTAACCTAATGGTTGAGTTTGACCCGCGGAGCAGCCTGATAGTTCCGCTGGCGGCGCAGGGGGATAAGATACTCGGGCCGCTGGGGGAAGCGCGAACAAAGTTACAACAGACTCGGATGTGCAAGGACGGAGCAGTTTTGCCGCTGAAAGAGATCAGAAGTGCTCTGCACAGCTCGGCTGGCACGGCAAAAGGGAAAAGGAGGTGGGAAGGACAAGCGGCGATTGAATGGGATGAGGTCATCAGGCAGAGAGACTCCCTTGCCACGCCTGCCAGAGCACGTGATGTCCTGCTGAGGCTGCATTCTAGAAATTTGCAAGTGGGCACGAGGCTGTAGTTTCTACACAACATCGCCGTTTGTCTGCACTGCAAGGGGGAAGAAACGCCGGAGCACTGCCTGTTTGGCTGCCCGGCAATACAGAGGGTGATGGGGTTCCCAAAAGATGTACTGACGGCGATGAATCCGGAGAAGCACTGGGAGAACTTGGAGGACCTGCTGTTCATGCAGAGGAGTTCGAAGACGGGGTTTCCAGAAAGTTCCTTCATTGCTACCACGCTTCACCAAGTCTGGCTGGCGAGGTGTGACGCGAATCTGCACAGTATTCGGTTCCAGACGACGAGAGTGATACGACGAGTGATGGTGAATTTTGTCGCACATGCACGGGTGTACTGCCTGGCGCGAGAAATTACAGCAAAGAAGCGGGGAGAGCCGGTAATTGGGGACACATGGGCACATCTGGAGGCAGACGAGGCGAGGATTATGAAGAGGATTTGCAGCAAGGCTGCGCCGCTGATGTGGAGGATAGATTTCAGCTCCCTCTGGGACAACCCGAGGCTGACTCATCAACCACCGTAGGCTGCGAAAGGGGAACCGTGGCAACGATGACCATGGCCCTCCCCTAGTAACACAGTTACGACTGACGATGTTCTAAAGGCATTCTTGTAGTGTTTTTAAAGCATCTAAAAAAAATAGACCTTCCTTGCCTCTCCCATTTTCATGCTTCGTTAGTTACTGCATCCAAGTCTCAACAAGCACAAACACCAAGTGCTCTTAGACCATATTTTCCCGCATACAACACCCTACCAGTGCTGCTGAACTGCATCTATAGTCCCGTGCTAAATAGCCCATAGGTAGGCATAAAAAGCAAACTCAGCGCCCTTTGGTTGGCTTCAATTGCAGCCAACTCCGGAGGCCATCACCTATCGAGCTAACGCGCATAAATGAGCTCACACCAGACTGCGAGCCATCAGACCCCTAAGGCTCCCTCCCACCATCTCCAAACGACAGAGCAGAAACATCCCTTGAAGACGCACCCTCGCTGCCTGCACTGTCTTCTCTCGCGACGCTTTCCCACTCGTCCTCCTTGTTGGTGCAGTGCTTGGCAATGAGGGCACTGAGGCGGTATGCCACATCCTTCATGGTGGGTCGCCGTGTGCCGGGAGACTTGATGCAGTCCAGAGTGAGGTCTGCAAAGTCCACTATTGCCTCCTCACTGGCCATTGGCATCTTGCTGTCCCTCAGCTCCTCTAGCTCATACACCTCCACCATCTTCATTGCCTGGAGGTTGACCATACAAGGAAAGGATGATGCATGGGAGAGGCTGTGAAAATCAGCATGATAGGGCAGCAAGGAAATGATGCGAAATTCAAAATGAAGGAATTCAGTATAAACGTGCGGCCATGAAAAAAAATGAAGAGCCAGATTTGAGATGTGATGGGCACAAACACTCTCTGATAGGCAACATTCATAATTGCGCCAGCTGGAAACTTGGATTTCATAGTTGACGATCGTACCCATTTGCTTATATGTGTTTTTTTGTCAGCGTCAAATTGGGTTGATTTTCCAGTCAGCAACTGAAGAAGCATGATTCCAAAGCTGCAAGCAATCATGCATTGGAGACAGAGAAATAAAGTTGGAAAAAAAAAAAAGAAAGAGAGGCACGAGGAAAAAAACTTCAACATCAAGCAAGAACATGAGAAAACAAGTGAGGCGCAGAAGTTCATGGCATTCTGCAAAGGAACGAGCATGCATGCGATGCTCACCTGAACACATCGCTCTTGGCCGTGATGACGCCGGTGCGGTTGTAATCCGGGTCCACATAGGCCGGAGTGCCGACCACCCGCGTGGCGTCAGCATCGCCGTGAGTGAGGCGCTTGAGCAGCCCAAAGTCAGCCACCTTGGCTTGCATGTCGGCCGTTACAAGGATGTTTGCTGGCTTGATGTCGCGGTGAACGATGGGTGTGTCAAACCCATGCAGGTACGCCAGGCCCTCTGCTGCTCCCTACGCTAGGCGCAGCCTCTGGCGCAGAGAGAGTGGACCTGGGTCATGAAACACGTATATGGAGCAGAACGTGCAGTTCTATGAGAGACGGTGTCATGCTCTGTGCAAAAACGTAGATAATAAGTTTATTTATATGTTTATTTATATGTGTATATATGAACATATATTAATTGAAACGACTGGCAACCATTGAGCAGTCGTGCAATTGCAACTCACACGTGCAGAAAAAAGCAAATGCATGGCAACCATTTCGCCATCTTGCCAGTGCAACTCACGCCAGTGCAACTCACGCCAGTGCAGCTCACGCCAGTGCAACTCACGCTTGGTCTTGTGAATATGGTACTCGAGGTCCCTATTGCCTATGAACTCGTAGACCAGGATCTGCTCCTGCTTGCTCGTCTCCACATTCTGGTCCAGACAGAAGCCCAGCAGTCGCACCAGATGCACGTGGTGGAGAGAGGCCATGGCTCGCACCTGCAACGTGGACATGCACATGCAACACAATGCAGAGGTGACTTTTGAGTCGACTCAAAAGCTTGCCCGTCTCTACGTTCTGGTCCAGACAGAAGCCCAGCAGTCGCACCAGATGCACGCGGTGGAGCGAGGCCATGGCTCGCACCCGCAGCACGCACATGCAACACAACACAATGCAGGCAGAGGCAGAGGGAACTGGAAAGGCGAGCATGGAATATGCAGGCGAGCATTGTGGACAACAGAGAGGAGTACCTTGTTTGCTGTGGTCTGAGAGCAGAAAGTAGAAAGTAGAGGAACGCCTGACCTCCGTTTCAAAGTCGTTAGTCATGATGGTGGAGCGCTTGACGGCCCACAGCTGCCCCTGAGGCGAGCAGCCTTTGTACACTGTCAACGGGAGTTGTATGTTGGCCCCGTCCTCGCTTGGGCGGAGCCGACTTCGTGGTCGGGTGTAGGGTGCAGCCGACCTGCAGCAGTGGGCGAGTTGGTCGACGAGGTTGGTCGACCTGCACGGGGAGCCACTGCATGGGCGCCGACTTCGGGAGGGCGCCAACTTCGGGTGGTCGACCTGGGAAGTCGACCAGACCTTCTGGTCGACCTGGTAAGTCGACCAGCCCTTCTGGTCGACCTGGGAAGTCGACCAGACCTTCTGGTCGACCTGGTAAGTCGACCAGCCCTTCTGGTCGACCTGGGAAGTCGACCAGACCTTCTGGTCGACCTGGTAAGTCGACCAGCCCTTCTGGTCGACCTGGGAAGTCGACCAGACCTTCTGGTCGACCTGGTAAGTCGACCAGCCCTTCTGGTCGACCTGGGAAGTCGACCAGACCTTCTGGTCGACCTGGTAAGTCGACCAGCCCTTCTGGTCGACCTGGGAAGTCGACCAGACCTTCTGGTCGACCTGGTAAGTCGACCAGCCCTTCTGGTCGACCTGGGAAGTCGACCAGACCTTCTGGTCGACCTGGTAAGTCGACCAGCCCTTCTGGTCGACCTGGGAAGTCGACCAGACCTTCTGGTCGACCTGGAGTGACGTCGACTTGGAGCTGGTCGACCAGGGGGTAGTGGTCGACCTGGTCGACCTGGTTGCTCGGTCGACCAGGTTACCTGGGTGACGAGGTTCTGCGGAGGCATGCGACGTTCGCCCAGGTGGTTTTGGCGAGGACGACCTCGGTGATGGTATCCTGAGGTCGACGTGGCTGATCAGAAGCAGTCGTCAGCACGAAGCTGCAGCAGTAGCAGCAGCAGCAGCAGCAGCAGCAGACATTTCAGTCACGTAGTCAGCGTCGCTGCAGGTGAGGCCGACGTTGACGCAGGTGGTGATGAAGGCCAGGTTGTACGGAAAGAAATCCAGACTCGCTGCCACACATGATAGAATCTCCGCTGCCAAGCATCAGACGAAGAACAGTACCGTTAGGTCCAGAGTGCATGAGAGTGAACTTATGCTGAGCTGTGCGATAGGCCGTTGCATAAAATACTGAAGAATCGGAGCGACATTGATGGGAATAGAAGCTGATACTGCGTGAATTATTGAGAGAAGAAGCTGACACTTCGTGTAACAAAGCCAGCATTGCGTGAAAGACAGCCGACATGCGCGAGAGAGAGAGAGAGAGAGAGAGAGAGAGAGAGAGAGAGAGAGAGAGAGAGAGAGAGAGAGAGAGAGAGAGAGAGAGAGAGAGAGCGAGGTTACCCTCCGTGGAATTGAGCGGCCAGAAGCACTGCTGCAGGCTCGTGTCCTGACCCGCGCACGGCAAGGCATTACCCGCCAGTAGCAGCAGCAGCAGCTGCAGCACAGCCACTACTGCCAAGGCGCTTCCTTTGGAAGTCGCCATCGATCCACCGTGGATCTTAGGGCTAACGTCTATGTTGGATTATACGCTTTGGGCGTTAAGCGTTTAGCGTTTGTACGCTTGCGTGTACACGCTATACGCGAAACGCTAGCGAAAACGCTATACGCTGCCCAATGTTTTTTCAGGGCAGCCCGCCGACCCAATTTTTTTAAAATAACTCAAAAGCAGCGGAATTGCACGACGAGCAATTCTGCGAAGTCAGATCGCACGTCCGCGGTCTGTGCTGGCGGGAAAGTGGATTTATGTCCTAGTGTCGCATTTGCCTAGTCTACTAGACCAGGTAAGAAATCGAGCGTGGTAGGTAAGTCTGTCGAGATGTGGAGGGGTTGGATTGAGAGTAGTAGTTGTGAGTTGTGTCTAGCTGTGTCGCGAAAACAATTCGCCAACATTTTGACTTGATCGCAGGTGAATCGCCAGCAAGGCACGACAAATTTCACCCGCTCGCCAATTTCGCGAACAGTGGAAATTGTGGTGGTTGGGTACAAATGTGTTCTCAGATCTGAACCCAACCATTTCCCGCAATTTCTCTGTTAGGGTTATGGGACAAGATTCCCGCATGGTCGACGAGTATGAAAAACTCCCCCGAGTAGCCGAAAATGCTCACCGGGTTTTGTTTTGCCCTATCCGCGAAACTTTTTTTACTGCCCGGAAAAGCGTATCCTCGATCAGGCCCCTCCAGCGTATAGCGTACAAACACTAGCGTATATACGACACGCGTATATACGTTATACGCGTATAATCCATCATAGGCTAACGTTTACCGAACCGAAGTTCGCGAAGAGTGAAGGAGAATTTACGCGCACAAGCAGCGTACTACGCGGTCCCTGCCATGCATGCAGCAGTAAGAGGCTGGCAGGCTCTTAGACTGCGAAATAAGGTGTGATGCGCAGCAAAGTAACACCATGATACCTAACAAAGAGAGAATGAATTCCAGCGGCGCGGGAATGTCGAAATCAAAGCCAGACGCAAGCCTTTGAATTGAACCCTTTTACTCTGTCACCCTCTTCCAACCTAAAGCTTCGGCTCCAAAACAACCTCTCACAAGAGTAGCGCGACGCGTGATTTTGCATTCTGAGTGCTTCATGCTTCCGTAATGAGTCATTCCACTCTTCTCCCTCTCTCTTTCAGGCGATGTGCTTCATGCCAAAGCGCATGGTAGTCGCCGCGCTGGGTCACCCCAAAAAGGGGTCGGCTTAGGTACTATGTATATGCACCCTACTCACAAAGTATATTCGAGGCGGCCACTTCGGAGCGCGATACTAACTCCAAATATGTTTTGCAACTTTGCAAATACTCTACGCTCCTAAACTGACTTCCGCCATAGAACCTAGTGGCCAACTACATTAGAGCGGGGCATAGTATGAGCAAGGTTTATACACTGTACTAACGTCACCTCTCCCGAGGTTTTTTTTTAGCCCGCGGGCAGCGAGCTCCCCTGGGCGGGCTCGCTTGTCCGCTGAGATATATTCGGCGAAAAATGTCGGCTTGCCGGCAAAAACATTCGGTTACCCGTGTTTAGGGTTGAGGCTCGTTCAATTGCATGCCATCCAGATGGGGTTTATTTTTTTCTGACCGCGGGCAGATAACAGTCCGTCAGCCTCTTTCCCCTACGGCCGTCTATTGTATGCATCTGCATAATTGCGCTGGCATAAGTTGAACGCCGTTAAAAATGGCCCAACCCGAAAACAGGGCGAGGCGATCCGTCATTCCCTAGTTGGTGACGCGCAGTCAGGAATCGCTTGGAGAATATTAGGCGCTCCAGATCAATTCGTCGTTATGGTGTAGATGTTCCGCTGCTCTGTCTTGTTGATCCTAGGGTTTTTTAACATTTATAGTCTAGATAATGAACTGAATTGCAGGAAAATGACAAAATGTCAAATACATAAACTTATTCGTATACATAGACTTGGCAAGCCAACATAATCTTCCTCTCAGCACCAGATTTTCCTCATGGTGCATTCCCTAATGGAGTGTGGAGGGCACCACTGCACGCGGAGGCTCGGCAGCACGGGGGCATGGCGGAGAGAGGGACAGCGAGAGTGAAAGCGATGAGGGCACAGGTGGATCCTCTACAGGGCCCGAGCAGGACCTAGGGTTCTTGCTACCCATGCTCCCAGAAGCCCCTCTCCTTGACTCCTCTTGCTCAGACTCTCCAGCCGGAGCGGATGTGAAAGCGCCTCTCACGCCCATCTTCCCTTGCTTTACAGCGCCAAGTAAGGCTCCCTTGGCTGAGGCAGCCGGTGCTGCAACATGTGATTTTGTTGCGCGTTCCGTGTCGGCTGTAGTAGGGGCAACAGAAGAAGCAGCGGACGCAGAAGCAACAGTGGAAGTCGATGCCAAGGGAACAGGGGACACGGCGGGTGGCCGGCCAACAAGGAAGGCGGCTCGGATGGATGGGCGCTGGTGAATGGGGTCAGTGGGAGCGGATCCAGAGGGAAGAGAGTCAGTGGGAGTGGGGTTAGCGGGTGAGGCAGACACAGGAAGCATGGGGCGAGGCCGAACCACCTGTGCCGAGCCTCCGCTGCCTGCCTTGGACAGACCAAGCCAAGAGCTTTGGTTTGGACTGTGGGTGAGGCTGTAGCTCGGCTGTGGCCCTAGTTGGGTGCGTGAGGAGGAAGTAGAGAGGGCTGTGGCACCGCGAAGTGCTTTGCAGGATGGGGCACTGGAGGCTTGGCGATCCAACGGCTGGGATTGAAGGAACGCGGAATTGGGAGTGAAGGGGATTGAGGGAGGAGATGCGGGGTGCGATGGTGATAGTGGAGGGCGCGTGGGGCCAGGTGCATGCGCAGCTGTAGCAGGCAGGGCAGTGGCGGTAGTACCAGCAGAGGCGACAGCACTAGCAGGGGCAGCAGCACGGGAATCAGTAGGAGGAGTATCAGGGGGAGGAGCAGGTGGGGCAGACACATCAGCACTGTTGGCCCTGCTGCTGCCACGTGTTGCCACATCAGCACAGACACTCCCGCTGCTGCCACGTGGTACAGAAGATTGTTTCACTCTCTGTGCCCCGACTGCTCCAGCTGCTCTGCTAGTTGCCTTCATTCCATTGGCTACTGGTGCTGACGTGGCAACTGGTGCTGACTTGGCTACAGTCCCATTTAAAGGTTTGACCAGTGCTGCTACAGATGGCGCACTTATAGCACTCCCAGCTGCAGCATTCCCTGCTGCAGCGTTCCCTGCTACAGCACTCCCCAACGGAGCATTTTTATGCAACGCGGGGGGTGAGGTAACAGGAGAAGCGTGGGCATCACGAGGAGCAGTGGGATGAGGGGCAGAAGTGGCGGCAGTTGATGCAGCAGTGGTGGGAGTGGGAGGAGCAGCAGCAGGAACAGTGGTAACATTGACAGCAGCAGGCATGGCAGCTGGTATGGGAGCAGGCATGGCAGCAGGCATGGCAGCTGGTATGGGAGCAGGCATGGCAGCAGGCATGGCAGCAGGCATGGCAGCTGGTATGGGAGCAGGCATGGCAACAGGCATGGCATCAGGCATG